TATTTTATATTATGTTTACAGATTTGCTAAAAGAAAATTATGCATCAAAGTCAGCATAAAAGTCATTTTTGAAAAATCAAACCCACTGTTTTTGTGTTTTTTGTTTGTTTGTTTTTCTTTTGTCTCTGAATCAACTATGTATGCAAAGCGTTTGCTACTTTGTTGTATCTGTATTGTAGCGATTGTTTAAATGTCATGTGTTGCTGGATTTCGCGATGTTCTGATGCTAAATTGTATCGCCATTCTGTGACCTCGAGGTATTCATTTCTCGACAACGGGTGATGACTACATGGGTCACAGAATGGCGATAGGAATGTTCTATTCCAAGGTCTACGGCAGATGTTTTGTGGGATCATTTATTTTTCACATGTTGCATATAGGTTCAATATTTCGTTTAGTACTTTTACTACATGGCTGGTTCACTAATTTGATCACACTATTAAATCACGTTCGGAACTTTGATTTGTATGCTTCTTTTATTATTACTTCTGCTCCAGCACATGGATGTTGAATCCAATCCCGGCCCGGCACTAGGGGAACTTTCGATTTTTCATGTAGATATTAGAAGTTTTCGCAATAAGTTAGATTATATAGAGGACGTAGCTAGTGAGTATGACATTATATGCCTGACTGAGACACACTTGGACGACAAAGTATCTACTGACGAATTACATATAGCCGGTTTTCATGAACCCTTTCGACAGGACAGAAACTTTGCGGGGGTGGTTTATTAGTCTATGTTAATAACTTACTGAAAGTATGTCGCTTACAAGCTATAGAATACCCGGGTGATGAAGGCATATGGATACAAATTATTTTGCCCAGATCAAAATCTAATAATTGGTACAGTTTATAGGCCTGAATACTCTGTTAATTCTTCCTGGCAAAATTTAAAAGCATCTATTGATAGTGCATTAGATATATCTCAAAATGTAGTTATTGTTGGCGATCTAAACGTTGATTTACTAACTGATTCCAATAATCATGTCCTTATTGATGGTATTAAGACATTTTCTTTGAAAAACGTTATAAATGAACCTACAAGAATTAGTCCATCTAGATCTAGTTTACTTGACCCCATTTTACTTTCAGATTCACTTAGTTGTAAAGAGTCTACAGTTTTACCTATTGATAGAGCAGTAAGTGATCATGAAGGTTGTATTGTAGTTATTGAATTCACCTGTTTAACCAAACCTCTTTACAAACGACAAGTGTGGTGATACAAACGAGACAACTTTGACATGCTAAATGACCTTATTGACGACTATGACTGGACTGTTTTGTTTTCTGTAAGTGACTCGGTTGATACAGCGTGTGACAATTTTACTGACATTTTTTCGAATTTATAAATAGATGTTTACCCTCAAAAACAGTTACAGTTCGACCTAACGACAAGCCCTGAATGACATCTGAACTTAGAAAATATTTGAGAATCCGAGATCGACTGCATAAAATTGCCAGGGCAACCCTCCAACTTTCAGACATTGACAAATTTTAAGGTCAGCTAAACAACGTAAATAATATGTAAAAAAAAATGCCCGACTCCTTTTTTACGAAAATGTACATGGACTTATTGACGAATACGCTTCTTCTGATCAAAAATCTTACTGGAAACTAGTAAAACGACTTATAAAATCCGTTGGACATTATCAAAACATTCCTTCAATGACGGACCCAGCGACAAATAGTACTTTTTCAAACGATGACGATAAAGCCCGTTTACTTAATAATTATTTTTGTAGTATAACGATGTTGATATTCCAGTTCCGATGATTGAATCCAAAAAAGATAAACGTTTTGTATCTTTGCGGTTAAATCCTTCAGAAATAAAAGATGTTTTACAAACTTTAAAGCTAGGGAAAGCTTGGGAGGGGATTGGATTAGTCATCATGTGCTGAAGTCTACTGCTAACTCTATCTGCAAACCACTTGAAATACTGTTAACATGTCACTTTCTTCGTGGGTGTATCCTAATAAATGGAAACTTGCGACCGTTATGCCGCTTTTCAAAAAGGGTGATCGTCATATGCATACGCCGTGTAACTGTAGACCTATTTCTCGCACATCAGATAGAGATATCCCACGTCATACCCCATGCTAGATTTTTCTATCTCGTCCGAACTGTCTTGCATCTTTACGTGACATTTCGCGGAATTTTACACTGCGATGTATTTATCCGCGCGTTAACTGCTTGAAATTGACAATCTGCATTATAAATGTTCTGTTTTGTTGTTATATGTATAGTTTTTATGTTGTTAGATATCTGATGTTGTAGATAAAATATGATCTACATTGTGAAATACGTTGTCATCTATGTAAGAACGGACAGCATTTTTACGCGGAAGCATTCAAATGTAGCTAAAGTAGTGAAGAAGTCATTATCATTTGATGCCCAAGACGGATACTTTAAGTTTTTAGTAAAAAATAATTATACAAGTGTTCGTAAACTACACGCTCAAACACTTTACCAACTGTAGATAGTAGGGATTAATAACTCTGGCAAAGATTCCGTAACATCCCAACCTCGGCTTACGCCTCGGTTGGGATTTCGTTACAGAATCTTAACCCTCGACTGAGATAACCCCATCTCGCTCAATTACAGGTAATAGATTTTATTAATCCCTACTATCTACAGTTGGTAAAATGTTTGAGAGTGTAGTGTACGAACACTTGAATAATTATTTTTTTGAAAATCGCTTGTTTTATCAATACCAGTCAGGTTTTATGCCTTGTCATTCTCCTGTTTATCAACTTATTGAAATTTACCATAATATTTGTATTGCTTTAGAAGAAAGAAAACATACCTGCATCAGTTTGTGTGATATATCAAAAGCGTTTGATCGTGTTTGAAACAGGGGCTTGATAGCAAAGTGAGAAGCGTACGGAATTTCAGGGGAATTATTGCATTGGCTCGAAAATTATCGACACCGGCGCAAATGTATCATTCGCAGATGATACATCCTTACTTTATTCTGCTTTTTCATGCTATGAAATACAGACTGTTCTCAACAACCTAGAATCTTTAAATCAGTGGGCTAAACGCTGGTTGGTTTCATTTAGTCTTCAAAAAACGGACGTTCTAGCTATTTCAAATGCAAACGATATTGACGATGACATGGATTTGATGTTAGATGGGAAAAAAAATAATTGTACAGACGCACATAGACATTCAGGAGTAAATTTCATTTCAAATGGAAAATGGGGGAGTCATGTTGAGGCAGTTTATAGTGCGGTTATGAAAAAGATTAATGTTTTACGAAAACTCAAATACTTGTTGAAAAGAGATTCACTTTTAAAAATTTATAAATCTTTCATTTACCAGTTTTTGAATATGCCTGTGAATTATGGGATGGTTGCACTGCTTTTGAATCCGAGAAATTAGAGAAAGCTCAAAGAGAGGCGGCTCGAGTTAGAACAGGACTGCCTTCTTATACAAGTAACGATTTATTATATTTTGAAACGGGTTTAGAAACATTATCAGAGAGGAGAAAAAGGCGAAAATTGAATATTTCATATAGAATGAAAAACAACTTAAGGTCATTGGAGTGTATCGATAAACGGAAACAGGAAGTGCATCCCTAGTTGAAAATCCAATGTAGGGAGACAGTATCACAATTTCCGCAAATTCTAATGTTTAATATTAAACTGATGAATATTGTATGTTTATTGTATGTTTATTGTATGCTACCTATTTCACTACTGTGAAGTTTTTCAAGAACGATAACTTTTACCTGCAATTACTATGTGTATATTGTTTTATTATAAAATGTCAATTTTTATATCGTGTATAGAGAATTAATTTTACAGAATTTCAGCATTCATTAAATTGATATACATTAATGCAATACTAATATATGTCAGTATCATTTTTATTGACATTATTTTGTAAAAATATTGTGTCTTTTTTTTTTTTTTTCAAAATGCACTCCTTTATTACATAAATTTCCATTTAAAATCCTTAAAATTCTGACAACCTATATTTTTTTTTTGTGGCAGAAAGTTTTCTTTACTTTAAAGCAATATAACTACAAAATTTGAAGAAATTCTACTGAGAAATGGTGACACAATCCTATTACCTTAACCCCCAGCTATTTATCGGCACGTTTGCCAAACACAGTGGGTAACAACAATCGGTACAATTTACGGAACCAATATGATTACAATAGTTCTTCTTCCAGACTCTCCTCAAGCAACTCTTCTTTTCTGCCATCGAGTTTACGTCTTTGGAATTCGTTAGACAATACAATAAGAACATTACCATCTTTAACTACTTTTAAATCTGCTATATCCAGTGGTGCAAATTCGTCTCCACCATCTTCTTATAATTTTGGCGAACGCAATTTAAATGTATTACATACGAAACTCAGGCATCAGTGTAGCTCTTTGAAAAATGATTTTTTCCGTGTTAAGTTTGTTGATAATCCATCATGCGCCTGTGAGGATGTTGGTCATTTTTTCTTAGAATGTAAACTTTTTAATACAGTACGAATTACGCTATTTCAAAACATAAACTCGTTGAATTTATATCCAGTAAATTTAGGTTTATTCTTATTTGAGAATGAAAATCTGTCCGTAGATACAAATACAGAAGTATTCAGACACGTGCAACTTTTCATCAAATCCAGCAACAGGTTTTAGGTAAAATATAATAATTGTAAAATATAGTTTGTATGCCTTGTTAAATGCTATCACGTAAATGTCAAATTGTACTGTATTAGAGGAAAAGGCGTTGATAAGTTGATATAACTTGTGCCTAATCCTCTGCTCAAATGTGGGGCAATAAATATGTTTAAATCTAGGAGCTAATAAGAGATAAAAGTACTTTCTGCAGCGATTATAAACCATAGCATTCCAATAATTCTCAAATAAGTATTTAAAGGCATGAAATATTAAGTGGTTTCAAATAAGATTTTAGTTTTGTACTTAAAATCACGCTGGTTCACGGTGTGCCAAGCTTATTCCGGTTACCGGTACCGCTTCCTATTACGTGTGGATTAGTCATTCCCCGGAAGTAGACGCTCATCATCGTGTCCCGTGCACGTGACCAACAGATGAAAACCTCGGCAACCGCACAAATATTTAAGCTACAAACACTTTTCCGGGCTTTAGTTGGACCGAACGTCGCGGCTAGATCAGTCAGTATGCCTACTGAAGCGAATATTGAGAAAACGATCAATGATAACAAAGTTGTTGTGTATTCGAAAACTACCTGTCCATTTTGTATAAAGGCAAAAACTGCACTGAAAGAAAAAGGGATTGATTTCCTGGCGATCGAGCTCGATAGATTGGATGATATGTCGGCCACCCAGGATATCCTTAAGGGCATGACAGGAGCTAGATCTGTAAGTATCCCCACCTACTACCGTTACAAGATTTCTCATGATTTATTTTCGTAGACCGATGGAACAACACGAAACTATTTTACATGAATACTTCCAACTTATCAGCTGCTTGCCTTATAATTATATCAACAATTTATAAAAATGGCTTATTTAATTAATATTAATTATTATTAATATTGTAGTATAGGGCGCATTATGTCGCTGCAGTTAATAAGGTTCCACTCGCTTATTTTTAAATGTTAAACTTTAATTTGGTGTACTCACGGAATTCGATTGCTATCTAAGACTCAGCTGAAACGTCCGTGGTGTAGGCCTACTTGACTTTACAACATCGAGACAAACTGGCCCGGCAAGAGGAAACTCGGGCAAGGCAGAGACCTATACAATAGGCCCTATGTCTCTGTGCTAGGGGACAAACGTGGCTGTTATTTAACGCATAACATTAATGGTTCAGGTACCGTATACAGTACAGGTATTGACGCTTAGAAACTACACCATCAACAGGATGTGCATTAGGCCTACTCCAACAATGTTAAGGTTTTAAATGACTGGATATTGTGGCAAAGCACCGTGTAACCATATTCGTTCTATGATTTACAAAACATGGGTGAAAAATTAGAACGCATGACTTTGCTTATCATAGTATCCGAGTTATTTCCCCTGCCACGCATAATGCTAGGCCTAGTTTGTGCCATCAAATCAGAAACTCGCCTTCAAAACTTAATTTTCGTCAAATATTAATTAACAAATGATTTTTCTGCGAACACATATTGTAGTAGACACAAATTAATGATGTATAACTTTCAGACAACATCAGATTGCCAAAAAAAATCAATTCACAAAAATCAAAGAGTGAGGGAAATTTAACTAGCATATTCGAAAATAAACACACATTTTGTTATTGCAGATATTTCTGTGTTAATTAAAAACCCTGATAGTACCTTAACAGAAAAGCACAGGAATACAATTTCATGTAATCTCTAAATGTAGAAGAAAATATAATGTCTATTATAAGAAACATATTCAATGATTGTTTACCTGGAATATTCATTTATTTTACAAAGTAATGACTCACTGCTTCTCAGAACTTGATAGAAAATGATGACTCACTACGTTTAAAAGGAAGATAAAACATCGATTATCTGACTGTGCATGTAACTAATAACTTTAAAATAAATTTGAAGACTGCATGTACTGCAAACAGGATGTGTATAAGAGGCGAATGAACCTTGACATACGGTTGTGTGCGTGTTGTGCAGGGTGGTCACATTGGATTGAATTACAGCCTTTTTAAAAAAAACTCTTGCCAGTATGACGCATATTGGTTACATCCATATTGCATGAAGCCCGCTAGGGATTCATAGATCTATGGAAGTAACCGCTTTTCGTTCATATCGGCAAACAGCTTGTTGTTGTATGGTGTTCTAAATTTAATGTACCCGGTAATTAAGGTGCTGCAAATCATAGTTCCTCTAACACTCATAGTAGTTTAGCTAAAACAGAACGAATACATTTTATTATATATATATGAAATAAACATCAATCGGCCTGAAGAAGCCCTATAAGGCAGAAAGGCCTAGCGGACGATCTGAAAAATTTGTTTTTATTCTATATTTTCCTTCGCAAGCACTTATTTATTTATTATCTACTATATATATATATATATATATATGTTTATCAATTATGGACCTATGTAATTAGGGTGAATATTTGTAGTTATATGGACCACAGGGACCTGGGAATTAGTTACAGTCAACTATATTTTGGAGTTTAACTAAAGTGTTCAGAGTAATTTTACATGTTTATAAGGGGTTTAGATCGATTTTGTGGTATTGTTCATACATGTATGATCATTGAGTGTGTCAATTTTAGCCAAAGTCTATCTAAACCCCTAAAACATGTAAAATTGCTCTGAATACCTAATTACTTCAAATTGTCCTGGCAAATATATGGCTGTAACAAATTCTAAGTTCCATGTAACCACATATTCACCAAAATTAAAGTCCTTAATTGTTATATTAGATATGAACTAACTTATGCTGTTTTCATTATCAAATATAAAAAAAAAGATTATGTATTCTCACATACTTCACAGGGTGATTCCGTTGTTGCTAGGGAAAAGATAACTATCTAACACAGGGTAGGGAAAGACAGCTCACACACGCTATGACGTCATAATAATGGATTGTCGACGTGACATCATTTTATTGTTTCCGTGATGTCATACAATTGTTGTGAATGGGGAATCATCCGTCTCAACCCTAGGGGCTTAAGGGTTCGTCGGATGAATAAGATCGATGTTTATTTCGACTGGAATTTTTTAATTTGTATGTATGTGAGAAAAATAATCAAGTATGGGTCTGTTCCATAGACAGGGATATCTCACCCCTCGTGTAAGAGTTTATCTGGCCAGCAGCCAAACTCTTACACTCAGGTTGAGATATCCCTGTCCACGGAACAGACCCATGTAAGATTCTATTAATCTTGGAAGAGAAAAAAGTACTGCACCTATAACTAATATAGCAGAAGGCATGCATGCATTGTGACGATACAATGGTAGTGGAACTTTATTAGGGGAATATAACTGATGATAATCCAACCTATGGAGATGTAAGAAGAAGTTGTGTCATTCAACACATTCATGTTAATATATTCTTACAATTTATATTTGCAGGTTCCTAGAGTTTTTGTGAATGGAAAATTCTTTGGAGGAGGGGATGAAACAACTACTGCTGCTAATAACGGTACATTGGCTAAAGTTCTTCTTGAAGCAGCATCCAAGAAATAGTCATAGACTGATGTTGTCTTTTCGTCAAAGGAATATTCAAGACCGTGAACCAATCTGTAAGATCGATGAATATAAGGAGAAAGACATGTGTGACAAACATTTTAGTGACTTTTTTCTCTGCTTGAATTTATGGTATTCTGAGTGACTCTGCTTCAGCAGAACTATTGAGGCATATTATAAAACAGCTAACCAGTGTCTATTCTTGGAAGTTCTCTTACTCTTAATAAGTCTACAACTATATACATCTTTGTTTGTGTTTTTTAAAATATACCTAGTATATACAGTCAAACTTCAATGTTTCAAACTTTACAGGACCATCAGGGGAAATTTTTAAACATCATGACTTGGACTCATGAATATTGAACTACAAACATCTTTATGAGATCCTGTATAAACTGCATAAGACTAAATGTGATTGTTAAGTAAGTGACAGAACACAAGACAAGAAATCAAATTTGAAATGTAAAAATATTGGATTTAATGTAATTAGAAAAATATTCTTCATGTATTTCTACTGTGTAGTTTGCATGTTAAAGTTAAAATGACCCTGGGACATTTTAATGTTATCATATACAGATAATTGTTTTCAATGTTTAACCTAATGATTAGACCGGGATTGTCGTTTGAATCAGCGCGAAATTCAACTCCTAACAGTTTGATTCATCAATGGAATATATCAGAAGACAGCTGGGTCATATAAGAAAACAAACCTGACCTTGCTGTAAGTTTGACACATTGAGAAATTGGAATCTATGATTCATGGAAGTTTGACTGTATATCTTAATATATATTATAAAAAGAAAAATTCTCAACAACTAGTCTTTAGTACTTTCTTCTCTTCCTTATTTAAATGATTAAAAAGTGTAATTAGTCAGATTTTTGCAAATACGTTAAAAATCCCCAGCCATATTGGCTTTTCGGACACTGTATTCAGTACCTATATGTATATATTCACTATAAGCAGAATGTCTAAACGATTTTGTACAAAATGTATAACAACAAAAATATTACATCTTTAACAATATTAATTTGTCGCAATTATGGATATTTTAAATACCCAAATTATAATAAAAGATATAAGCTTACTATTTGCAAAATTCAACCCAAATTTTATACCTTCATTGATCATATAGCTATTAAAAATATGATTAAACCGATTTTTTCACATTGTGCAATTATTTTGTTTTTGCCAAATATTTTTGTATTTTATATTTAACTTGTATTTAGAAATGGACAAGGACAAAATTCATTTTTCTATTTAGATGTGTTGCATTGTTTTACGGATATGTTAATTAATCGTTTATGAATTTATGATCACGTCATTTCATTCAAAAGGTAACACTTTTTAATGAATACAATATATAAACATGTGCTAAAAAAGCAGGACGTATTTCATCATTCCAACCACTATTTTCTGTGTTGATAGGAAAAAAATGTTGCAATTCAATTTTGAGAATACAATGTTTGTATTGCCTTGAATATTGACTGAAATATATAATATATCATTTTTATACAGATGTACAAAATATCTGTGATATTACACATGTATCATTAATTGATCAGAATTATCATTCCATACGAACAATGTGTTTCTTTTTGGTTGGTGTAAATTTCAAAATTAAGTGTAAAATGATCCGGCCTCAGTCATAGCTTGACAATGGGATCAGTTGGTCTTGATATGTCACATGTTTGATACGTACATTGTATGCACATTGTGTTTAAAGGAGTATCCATATCTTCAAACTGACCAATCTTATTGAAAGTCCCAGGGTCAGGGATATGCATGGTTATGCAGGACTTCCAATACTTAAGTTATATATACCATCTTACATGAAGAAAACAAAAATATTTATTTTTGAGGGGCACCTCTTTCGCCTTAAGACTTTTGATCATCATGCAATTTACAAGTTAGATATGTTACTACAACCAATATTATGGTTGTATCTGAAATGACAAGGAACTCATTTTAAAATGTATTCAAGACATTTGCAGATTTTCGTATTTAGAGGCTTCAAATCTTACAATGTCCATTTTGATGTTTGACCAGGGTAATGTACATGTAATCTGTTGCTTTAATTGAGATGCTTTGTGTTCACTCTCCTCCCTATACATAGGCAGATGTTTTTTTCTGGTTTTACTTGAATTGTGATACAGGCTGTATGTAGTGTTTTACTTCCCACTTTAGTCAAATCTAAATAAAAAGACAATCATTGAATCAACACAATTGTTTTCTTACTTTTTTTCATATTTAAGGAAAATCTTTCTATTTTGGTCAGGTTATGGGGTTAATCCTCGATACTCCAGGAGTTATGCTCACTTTTGCTCTCTGTACCCCTGGAATATGTCAAAGCAAAATTGCAGAAACTTGTAGCTGTGTATTTTGCTGAAAAAAAGTGAAGCAGTTGATGCAGGTTTTTTTGGAAAGAAGGTTTCCAACTTCATACTGGCCTGCTGTAGGCTTCATGCCGATGGGTACGCAAAGGAGGAGGGGTATATCCCTTCCGACAGGAAACAGGATGCAGGGTCCGTGAACCAGCTAGCAGGGACCTTTACCATAAACGCCCAGACTCGAGACAGTGGTGTAGCAAATCATTTTCCATAATATATGGAGATTCGAGCACCAGAAGACGGGGAGGGTATTGGAGGGACTATAGCTGGGAAAACAATTTGTCTAGGCACTAGAATTATCCTTAGAGGAGGAAGATGGTTTAAAATTGTAAAATTGGGATTCCTACCCCAACCCTAGGGGCCAGGGCGGGGCCCAAAAGGGAAAATTAGCCAATATTTCAATATTCTTCTTCTCAAGACTGAGAGGTACTACAGTCATTTTCTCTGCATGGAAAGAAAGATCATCAGGGGCTTTATTTAAATTGTAAATTTCAGGCCCCCTGAGCTATCCGTGCTCCCTTGGGGAGGGGGTAAAGTTTACTTTAGTTTATATAGGGAAATAACACTTTTGGGTATATTTTGACAACTTTCTGTAGGAAATTATTTTTACTTGGTGAGAATTATCCTTGGCAGAAGATGGTTTCAAATTGTAAAATTGAGATTCCTACCCCAACCCCTTGGGCCAGGGCGGGGCCCCAAAGAGAAAGTTAACCAATATTTCAAAAATCTTCTTTTCAAGACTCAGAGGTACTACAGTCATTTTCTCTGCATGGATGGAAAGATCATCAGGGGCTTGATTTAAATTGTAAATTTCAGGACCCCCGAGCGATCCGTTCTCTCTTGGGGAGGGGGTAAAGTTTACTATAGTTTATATAGGGAAATAACACTTTTGGGTATATTTTGACCATTTTCAGCAGAAAATTATTCTTACTTAGTCAGAATCATCTTTGGTGGTGAATGAGGGTAGTACATTGTAAAATTGGGATTCCTGCCCCATCCCCAGGGGCTTGGGGCGGGGCCCCAAAGGGAACATTTACCAATATTTTCAAATTCTTATACTTTGATGACATGACAAGTATTGTATTTCACTTAGTTTACATGCTGATTTCCACATCACATCTAAACAATATAAAGCTACCAGTACCTATGATATAACTCAGGTGACCGCTAAGGCCCTTGGGCCTCTTGTTTTAATATTAATGAGGTTGAGGTCAGCGCGTGTTGAAGCATGCAGTCAGAGAGACGTATATTACAGATTGATATCGACGGTTCGTCAGACAACAGACCATGTCACTGTTGCAAATATGGTCAATAGTAAAATTATTTATTTTCAAAACTTCTAATACTTAAGATAAACCATAAGACAGAGATACAATAATAATAGTAAGCAGTAGATCTTGCATTTTTTTCACGGCGAGTTTATTTAAGGTAATGGGAGACAACTCGAACGACAATGTGTACTCAGGCATAACATAACAACACTATTTTATCAGACTAAGTTTCAAGAAGATTTTTTTTATATCTTTCCTATTTTATGATTGCTACTGACGGTCCATATTAATCATAATAAAAATCTTAGACATGTATGCTACGCCACTGCGTTTATTATTATTATTTTTTTTTTTTTCATCAACCTTCTTAATTCGTGCAGTGCATCAGGGTGTCCGGCTAGACGTGTCCTGTTTATGTCTTACATCTGAGGTGTCTGACATCTTCTAGTAATGATCCAGCTGTAGTTATCATAAACATGTATCACCCTTAGTAAAAACAAAATCTGTGTATAAACAGGGCCACTTTGGGTATGGAGTGTTACAAAGTTTGTAAAAATAAATAATTGTGACCTTTATTTAAGATCCCAGGATCACATTTAACACAAAACTCAGTCAGTAGCCTGTTGCCTATGCGTGCAACAAGAAAAGAGGATGTCCTTGACATATATTCAAGGTTACATAGGCCCACAATGTTTCTCTTAAGACAAACATCTTTTTGGGCCTGGAATTCTGATATGTATGACCGGTAGATTGCTGGCACGGAGTGCCACAAAGTCAAGGAAAAGAAATGACCTTGATTTATAGTATAGGGCAAAATCAAAAGTGTCAAATCTTTTAAAACATTGATACGCGTCATTCTTCACAACCGGAATCTCTTGGTACCATGTATTATCATGCAACTTACTGGCATATTGAATAATACAACGTTCTACACAAAGAAATGACCTTGACCGAAATTTAAACCCAGTGGGTGAAATACATTTAAACACTTAAACTGGATATTATAGTTACGCCTGTATGTTATAAAAACAGACATACTGTCAATGATGCAAACAAAAGTAGTTTAGAAAAGAAATGACCTTGACCTATATTCCTGGTCACAGGGTTGAAGTATGTTCAAGTTAAAAGACTGGTGAAGTAAAATACACTGAGTTATGATATATGGCTAGCAGATTGCATGCATTAAATACTAAAGAGTTTGAGAACATAAATGACCTTAATGACATAAAGCCAAATGCTGTGGTTGACACCACCCTGACCTCTCAAATTTAAATAAAAAGTCGCAGATATCAACATCATATAAATATTACTAAATTATATTACAGTCACATCATGTTCCGACTTTCCCGCACATTGTTCAAAACAGACTATTTTTCTTTATAATGTTCAGTCAAATAAAGGCTCAACTGTGGCAGCCTGTCTGACGAAGCAGCACAGGAGATTTCTACGGACCCAGTCTCTCTTGTTATGGGCCTTGGAAGAACTCTTCTTCTTTCCACCGACTGAGGTGTTGGTGCTGCCACCTATTGGACATTTAAAAGAAATTAGTCACGTTATATAACCACCATAATAAGACATTTTATAAAAGAAGGCTTATTGATATGATAAAAAAACCCACTTTTTGTTTGATTCGGTTCAGTAACATTATATTAGACTTAGAAGGTTGAAGCAACTTACATGTACTCGCATAACCATACAACCAGAGAGAATGCCGAAAAGGCAGTTATTGAAAAGCCTACGGGAAAAGGTCCGGTCTGGAACCTGATTAGCCTCAAAAAACATTTTCTTTTCTTTTTCTTAGCGGCTAAGTGTTTGGAAAATCACTCGGACCTTCCTGTATTCCTCTTTTTGTTCCTGTCGGAAAACTTCTAGTGGTTTGACCATTGACTTTGATGAAGCGGAAAGGCTTGAGTATTTTTCCGATTAATTTTGAGTGTTTTACCAGATCTGAACGATTTTTTCCGAGTGAATAATATTCTCACCAGCTGTAGCAGCATTAACTTCCTTGGCCTCTTTCTTGTCTCTCTATAAGATAAGGTTACATACATTATATCAAGCTAGTATGTACTTTCAATGGTGTATTGGTATTCTGTATTACTACATATACAGTAAGTAGAATTTTTTTATAATTGATTTTAAAGTAATTATTGTATCAACCATTGGCTTCATCATTCAAAGTGTTTGTCGTGTAATTGAACAACCCTTTCTGTGAAATTACATGTAGTGATGATATTGTTTGATGTTTATTCAGAAATCATATACATTTTAGTTTTGAGTTTCTCTTAGAATGGTGAGACATTGATCAACAATCTAATTAAAATGTTCATCGACAGGAGTCCGACAGTAACCTTACCTTGATAATTCTGTCCAACAATCGTCCCAGTACATTCTTCTTGTGAGAGCCCTTGCTCACCTGCGCATCCGTTGTAGCCACGTGCCCTATCTTGTGTCCTGTCGGCTTGTGGTCTTAAAGAATTAAGACCGAAAATATATACAATTCGAACATTTTACATTTGATTAAAAGGCGATACTATGTCGATAATGATAGGAACAAACTCGCTTGAAACGATTTCTAAATAACATTGAAAATAAATGAAATACTGTTTTTTGACAACGTCTTTTAAGAATATGACATTACTTCGTACTGAATGAAATACTTAAGTACTTAAAGCTAAAACGATAAATAGCGCATACATGAGATAGGAATATTCAGAGTTACAAAATACCTTTGGTGGGATTAGAGGTAAAAATATGAGACTTGTTATCGTTTCCTCCTACACTTGGCTTGATTCGCTCTTCTTTGATATCAAGAAGCTTACTTCCTGTTGTGCTAGATGCTACTTCCGGTGTTGGAGTAACCAAGGATTTGTTGAGTCCAAGCATAACCTCCATCTTATGATCAGTTGGTGAACTTTTACCTTCGCGGATGGCGTTGATTGACCGTCCAATGGTCAGCCCTACAATTTCATCTACCCCCTGGTCAAGACCTTTGTCCATTTCCCTTGTTTCGGTTTTTATTTTATCAACAGCTTTCTCTATTACATCTTTCACCAAAAGCTGTGCAATCTGTCGCAGTTGTTCATCTTCCATTATAAATTCTGAAACATTTGTGCCATTTAACATATTTCAAGTGTATTAGTTATACATTAGCCTCTAAAAAGATGCGTAGGTGTATCTGAACGTAAGGATAATTGAGATATCTATTAATTAAAGAACTAAATCCCTGTAGTCCATACGTCTCATGAGTTACCTAAAGTCCATGTAGAACGATAACTGTTAGCATTAGAAAAGTCATCCTCGATATCCAGGGGTTACGCTCACTTTCGCGCTCTACACCTCTGAAATATAGCAAAATTGAAGGCACGAAGATAGCTGTTTGATTGGTAATAAAAACTGACCAATCGCTAGGCTGATACCTGTCCTTTGAAGATTACAAAAGAGAGACTCCCAACTTCGAAGCCTGTCAATTTTTACCGTTACGTGACCGCGAGATTATTTTGATGTACATAAAAGGATCGAACTATAGTCTTCTTGTCTCATCAACAAGGTGGTACACACTGAGCCTTCAATTTTGCTAAGGGGTGCAGAGAGCGAAAGTGAGCGTAGCCCCTGGATATCGAGGATGTAGAAAGGTGAAACTCATACGTAACAAGACCACTCGGTAGATTTGTTATACACCCTCTCCTTCGGCAGGTAATAAGGGGACGTAACTGTGTATTTCAGGTCAGAACGCTAGATATGCTGTATATACAAACAATAACAATATCTCATATAGTCCTTATCATATGTGATATCTGTTACAGATGTCTTAATTACAATTACTGTAAAGATGTTTTCAATTGGTTCAAAGATATCTTTAATTTTATTTCTATTAGAGATATAGCAATATCACTACTATATAATATATATATGTTACGTCTAAGATTGTCTATTATGTAAAGATATAAATTTTATACTTTTGCGAATTATGGTATTAAATGTTAAGCTCTCCTGGACTACAATATGTATACAATGTAATCTCGTTACGTCGATAGATAACAGAAAAACTCGGAAATATATCGGAACATTAGAGGCGTTCCGAGTGTTTGGAAAATAAACAACAGTTACATAAACAACAACTTTGTTTGTTTGTTGTCAGTCTGAGATCGTGATTAGAAAGGCCGGGCCCCGTATTCATTCTCAATCAAAGAGATTTTGTCCTCAAGCCGACTGTTTTGTGACTTGCTTAAATCTTGTAACACGGTAAAACAGAATCTGAATTTTTATAAATTAGTAACAGGAACAAGAAATTTAATTCAGCTTTTAATCCGAGTTTGAGCATGAGAACAGTTTCATGAATACGGGCCTGTATATGTATCAGTTAAGAAAAATGGATGATTTTTTATTTATTAAATGATAGCACAATGTGGGACACCCATCCACTCCTAATAAATCAGTGGAACATCCCAATGGTGTATTTTGTTAAGTCAATCCTCTTTTTCCAAACTGACAAATTATTTTACAATATTATCACAATACAGTGGCGGATCCACTGCAATAGGCTTTAAGATTCCGGAGACAAACAACCCGTTTTTGACAAACCTGATGGTGTGACTCCAGGATATCATCTCGCTCCTGTGGTATTATGTAGAAATATGCCAGGGACCATTAAGTCCAATTATGTGGTGAACGATTTTAATAATTTCTAACGTGCGAAAAAACCATTGGAAAGTGAAGTCAAATTTCATTAGCTCCACTTGAGACAGGTATGATTGATGAGTTAAACAGTAACTCCGCTTTAGACAGGTATGATTAATGAGTTAAACAGTAACTCCGCTTTATACAGGTATGCTTGATGTTTTAATCAGTTACTCTGCTTTAGACAGGTATGATTGATGAGTTTAATAGTAACTCCGCTTTAGACAGGTATGATTAATGAGTTAAACAGTAACTCCGCTTTATACAGGCATGATTGATGTTTTAATCAGTTACTCTGTTTTAGACAGGTATGATTGGTGAGTTTAATAGTAACTCCACTTTAGACAGGTATGATTGATGAGTTTAATAGTAACTCCACTTGAGACAGGGATGAGTGATGAGTTAAACAGTAACTCCGCTTTAGACAGGTGTGATTAATGAGTTAAACAGTAACTCCGTTTTATACAGGTATGCTTGATGTTTTAATCAGTTACTCTGCTTTAGACAGGCATGATTGATGAGTTTAATAGTAACTCCTCTTTAGACAGGTATGATTAATGAGTTAAACAGTAACTCCGCTTTAGACAGGTAATATTAATGAGTTAAACAGTAACTCCCTTTGAATACAGGTATGCTTGATGTTTTAATCAGTTACTCTGCTTTAGACAGGCATGATTGATGAGTTTAATAGTAACTCCTCTTTAGACAGGTATGATTAATGAGTTAAACATTAACTCCGCTTTATACAGGTATTCTTGATGTTTTAATCAGTTACTCTGCTTTAGACAGGCATGATTGATGAGTTAAACAGTTACTCCACTTTAGACAGGTATGATTAATGAGTTAAACAGTTATCCCACTTTAGACAAGTATGATTAATGAGTTAAACAGTCATCCCAATTTAGACAGGTATGATTGACGAGTGAAAAAGTACATGCAACTCCGCTTTAGACAAGTATGATTAATGAGTACTCGTATGCTTTGCTTTGAATCAAAAAACTATATTCATGCAGAAAAAATGAAAATACTGAAATCGTACGTACCTTAAAAACAATTCTGCACCTTATTTGAATGCTATCTGAATAAGAGTAAAAAAAACCTTCTCCGCACGTCTAGTACTAAACTGTAGCTTCCTTCGTCGCTAGCAACAGTGACAATGACGACAGGAAATCTCGCGTGACGATCGCCTATTGTGACGTCATAGAAAGAAGTATTTTAATAGCGCGAGAATAACAGTTTCTTTACGCGGAAACTTGTAACAGTGTATTTGCTGGAAAAAGTGAGGCAGATGATGCAGGTTTTTTTATGAAAGAAGGTTTCCAACTTCATACTGGCCTACTGTAGGCTTCATGCCGCTGTGTGCGCGAAGGAGGGGGTATATCCCTTCCGACAGACGGACGGTCCATATCAATCATTATTTTTTTTTTTATGAAAACATATAATTAAGAAAAACATTCTTGAAAATTTTGCTATGCCACTGAAGTTGATATGATATGGTGATACACTGTGATATGCACAGTGACCTTAAAATTTGTCACATCTATATTTGGACCTAAAGTTAGGTGTTCAGAGTAATTTTACATGTTTAAGGGGTAAAGATAGACTTTCGGTAAAAATGCCACCCCCAGTGATCATATAGGGATTGAATCTGAATTTTTCCAGTGTTCATGCAAGTATGAACGGGGAAAAACTTACTTGCACACCACACGCGCGGTAGGAATGAGGCGAAGGCCGTTCATGTGAAGTGTGTAAATATATAACATTAGCGACGGCCCCCAAAACAAGATAAATCCAAAAAGGTGTGTCTATAGGAATCTTAAACCAGAAACCGTTAGTTTCAAATTTCATTTTATGATAAATGGGACCTCATTGACTTACACCTGTGTGGCTGTTAAAGGTGCGGTAATACAATTCCTCCTAGAGCATTTAAATGATACAATTTCTATAAAATTATATCATCATCGTGTGTAACATATTCCAACTGCTATTTTGATACCAAATATTACAATATTTCAAGAAAGAATTGTTCTTTTTTTATGGAAGATTTAAGCAGAAAAGTATGTGAAATGTCATTACAAATGAGAACATTTCCGTTTCTGACACGTTAATTTACATAGTTCTAAAACGAGTCAATATTTCATACTTGCTTAAAAGTTGGCTACCAATACTATCTTTTTACATCAGGAATTTAAAAAAAAATGACAACCGATAAATTTGTTATGTAACACTTTTATATTAAAAAAATGAAGAGCATATTTTCCTTTCCACTTTTTCTGTAACTTGTGTTTCTTCATGACCAAAGTCCTTGGGTCATGATATTTGGCAAGTATGTTGTTAATGTGAATGGATTCAAGTTTTGTAAACGTTGATGACCTTGACCTTCGTTCAAGGTCACAAAAATCAAATTTTCTAAAATATAATGTGTGTATGGGGGTAAGACAAGGATATCTTTCCTTGCTTTATTTGTTTAGAGTTAACAATATAAAATAGTGTAATATCCCTTCATATTTTGGTTAATGAATGGGCCACAGGCAAAATAAATTAATAACTAGAACTGTAAGCCAAAGTTTAACTAATACCGCCCGCTCCTATATAAACCAGAACTGTAAGCTAAAGGCTAACTAAGGCAAAGATTACAAAACAATCCATAGTCTCCCACCAGTAACTATCTAAGTATATAGGTCACTTACATACTTCCTGTATACTTCCCTCTCCATGCCAAAAAATTATTTGCATCCCGAATCGTGTTAGCCCAGATGAACCAGTTCTGCTGAAATCGTCCTACATTGTAGCAGTTAAGGAAAAGTTGTCAAGACAAAATATTTTAACAAAGGGCCATCACTCCTTAAAAATGGTCGAAATAAAAAAATAATACTACCCTGATGCACGACATCAGGGGGTAATAACCATATCTGTAAACTTTCATTGAAATCGGCCCAGTTGTTTATGAGGCAGACAAAGTATTTTTTTTATTAATAAAGGGTCATAACTCCTTCTGAAGGGTCGGATGAAAACATACTACATGGATGCACAATGTCAGATGGTAGCTAAAACTAGTTTTGGAGGACATGTGTAAAATATAATACATGGATGCACAATTTCAGGTGGTAGTTATCATATCTGGAAACTTTCGTTGAATTGTCCGGACAAACTTTTTCTACGGACAAACAGACGGACGGACAAGCTGATTCAAGTATATCCCCTTACTTCGTTGCGGGGGTG